TAATAACGAAATCTGAATTCAATGATAATGCTGTTACACTCCATGAAAGTACTATAATTGCTGCAAGACCAACTGAATACACAAATAGTAAATCCCAGTTTAAGAGTGTCCTACTATTAGCTACATTGTACATGGGCTACTGATTGGAAATTCTTTATTATTAGTAGTATCTTTTTATTTTAAACAAATTCATGGTTATCTTTAAACTATCACTAAACATGACTTTATAAATCATTATAAACTCTTCACTATCACTGAACCAAGGTAACGAGTGAAATAGAGATGTGGCCCCTTTAAGAATGAGCGCTCCCTCTTCTGAGTGCATTGCAATGCGGCACGAGTACACGTATGAGTGGGTATATTATTTTCTGCTGCTCATTAAGTTGTTATGGTTAAATAGGTAAGGCTGTTGACCATATAAATGCAAGGCAGTAAGCTCATTGGCTGCATATGCAGAATGAACCAATCAGCTTGTGCCAAGTCCTTTAACGCTCTGAATATCAGTTACGTTAATGACCCATCAGCCTGCGCCATCTAGAGTTTCATGACTAAACTATATATTTACGTATGGGGAGGCCGACGGTAAGAACGAAAGAGGAAGTAGTACGTGTGGTGTTGAGTGCTGCTTACCTTTAGCGCTGCCACTGCCGCCGCCTCCGAGTGAGTCACACTAGTTGAGTCGATTGCACTAGAGGATTAATTACGCCAAACAAAGGAATTACTTGCCGCACTATTGGATCTTCCTGGCGCTGACTGCAGAGCGTGGCCTGGTTGTTGAGTGGAGCATTGCCTGTTCGGGTTCCTGCCACAGACGAACGAATTTTCTGGCGAGAATCTTTATTTTTTGTTGAAAACAAACTTTCTCCCCCATGAACTAATAGTTTGATACCACATCAAAAAACTCTGGTTAAAGTGAGAATTGGTTGATATTTGTTTTGTGTTGATAATTGTGTTTGAAAATTGTTTTGTTGTAAGTGAACAATATATCAATTATTTTTTCTCAGCTATACCTTTGAATGGCATGATTCTTTTACTTTGTGTTGATTTGTTTTGTGTGTGTAACGTGGTTTGAGTTATCCTGGGTTAGGAAGTGTTCATTTAAATTCTAAATTCTATTTGGTCTCATTCTGTTTGTGACACTGTATGCTACAAAACCATGTTGCTTTTTACTACCAAGATGCATTTTTTTGAGAGCAAGTTATTCCATAACGGATACAAACAATAACTGTCCCCGAAGAAATTATACATAAACCAAGGAATATCCATCCATATTACAACGTTATTGTTTCATTGGACTAAAAGTGCTCTATGGGATGTTGTTCAGTGGACCCTTACCTTTCTAACTAAACCGGGATTTACAGCAGTGGATGCGTTTGTGACTCGTTATTACGATGAATCTGGTACGTACTGCGTTTTTATTATGCATGTTTTGATGTGTACTGCTTATACAAATTTAGCAAATACATTCCTTATAAACTTTCCATTGAAAAACAGCGATCTATCGTCGACACTTGAGGCTTAGACCTTTAGAATGATATATAGTTTGTCAAGATTAATTTTGTCCCTTTTCATTTAATCTATTCGTAAACATTGACATGTGCAAACAAAAAGCGTTCAGTGCGCTGGCATCCAGGTGCGGGTTAACAGGTTAAAATCTACCTGGTGCCTGAATTATAATATTGTAAGGAATAGGCTACGAATAACGCTACGTCCAAATGACTGCATTGAATTTAATGCATCTTCATTTTTTTTATTCTTAACTGTTTAATTTAATTTAAATCATTTTTCAACACTTTGAATTACGATCAGTTGTGACTTGACATTTTGAGTATGAAATGTGCTATATAAATAAACGTGCCTTGCCCTGCCTAGGATGATTCCAAGGGTCATGAATAGAGAGGGGGCCCAATGTAACCCCCACCTGAATGTGATTTCTACCAAGGGGGACACCCCCCCGGCCCCAGAATGTGATTTAAGTGGGGCCCACATCAATATGCTGTACAGGGGGAGGGGGCCCAAAAACCATTACAGCGCCCCTACTCAAGACATCATAACAACTGAAGTCACTGTGCCATGATTTCATTTCATCGAGTAAACATTTCCTAAGAAGTCTGTTTTCAAATCTGAAGTCTTCCTGTATATTCTCATGACAGATTTATTCAAACATACATTTAAAAAAATGAAGACGACAGGTTAAGTAAAATATAATGAATGTAATATATTGCACATATGTCAAAATTCTCTTCTCTGGAGTTATTTTTCTAGCTGACTATCAACGTTGTGTACAATGAAAGTCTTTTCTGAAGTAAATGTGATGTTACATGACATCTACATTTACTGACATATTTGTGCAGTTAGTTAGTTTATATAGCACATTTTAATACAGCAGAGCATTGAGCAAAGTGTTGTACAAAATCAACACAGTTCCACACCATAACACACAAACAGGGCAACTAAAAAAATACCTCAACTCTCTGCTGGCTCAAACGCTAAGGAAAGAAGATGAGACTTCAGGCGATTCTTAAAATAATTTGGAGTTGGAGCGTGTCTAATATGAAACACAGTTGAAACACTGTGAGCAATTAAGAGACATGATTCATTTCAATAAGTTGTTCTTTTTCTTTCAACACCATCTGATGTTTGTTCATGTTTATTTTTTTCTTATAACTAGTAGCAAAGAGGAAGACATGATCTAGTCACGTGCCTCTTGAACTGAGGTGTAACAGCGAACGTCACATTAGAGAGCGTCAAATGCACAAATGCAAATAAAGAGGGGTCTGCTGCACAACAGCCCTGAAAGGGTGATGATGCCATAATGTTCATCAAGCCCAACATCTTGTAAAACATTAACAGTGGCAGAGCTATGGTGCTGTCATACAAGTGTTCATGGTTAGTTGGGTTTCATTCTTTAGAATTCTGAAGTGCCAGGCAGTCCAAATGTGTAACAGGTTGATCTCTTTCGTTACACACCAGCTTAATTGAAAAATAATGGATAAATTATCCAAATAATTTAGAATGTAAACACTGCTCAGCCTCAGCGGAGCTAGAGCAGCATGTGTGCATCTGGTGAAAGTACAAGAAGCTAAGGACAGGCCGAAGGGAACTGAACCTTGAACTGAAATGTTGTACCTTCTAACATAAGATATGAACATTTTTCAGGTTCTCTAAGATGAGTCCGTCCAAAGACAAAATTTGGTGTTGAATGTTTTTTAGTGATCCGAGCAGTGTTAATTTCGTCAATGAAGACGACGACGAAAAATATTCGTTAACGAAATTTTTTTCTGTGACTAAGACGAGACGTTGACGAGCTAAAACTAAAATCTGATGATAAAAACTATGATGAAATTTATGCCTCGTCTTCGTTAACAAGACGAGACGGGACTATAATGTTATTTGAGGACTACCGGACATTCAAAATACATCCTATACACTACTGTCTTGTCCTTCAGAATGTGCGTCCCTGTCATTGGATTGCAATCAGATAAGGGACGTTTGCATATCTAGTCTCAGTTTGGCAGCTACAGTGGATGGATAGGCTACCAAAACGCGAACTAGCGATCTGACTCGTCTTCTTTAACAAGACGAGACGGGACTATAATGTTATTTGAGGACTACCGGACATTCAAAATACATCCTATACACTACTGTCTTGTCCTTCAGAATGTGCGTCCCTGTCATTGGATTGCAATCAGATAAGGGACGTTTGCATATCTAGTCTCAGTTTGGCAGCTACAGTGGATGGATAGGCTACCAAAACGCGAACTAGCGATCTGAAACAATGGCCTCAGCACCCGAAGGGGTAGGGATAAGGTGACCAGACGTCCCGTTTTTTTAACGTAAACAGGTGGGTGAAAACTGAACATGTGTCAGTATTACATGAATGCCTGCCGTCTTAAAGGGACAGCATTCCTAATTAAGTACCTATACGTGTCATTAATGTTAACTAACAATAGATGTTAAATAAATATGTTAAATAAACCTACTGTATCTGAAAAATTTGTTTAATTTGTATCTTTCATATTTGTCTTATTGTCTTATTCTGCTTCTTTTTCAAAAATGATAAATTATGTATATTATATATGATCAATAATAATTTTTATAAGTTGCTACCTTTTCATTACTGTTAAAGGGATAGTTCACCCAAAAATGAAAATTGTCATCATTTATTCAAGTTTTTCCAAATTCAATCCTTGATTCAAATTTCTCCTAAGCTTAATTGATTTGGTCTAAAGAGAGAAGAATTAATGGCTATTTTTGTTTGAAGACTACATATAAAATAGCTACCAAAATAAATGTTGGTAACTGCAGTTTGACTAAAAGTAATGTCTAAAAGTAATGACTAAAAGTTGACAAAAATGCAATGACTTTTCGTCGACTAAAACTAGACTAAAACTATGAAATACTCAAATGACTAAAATGTGACTAAGTCTATTAAGAATTTCGTCTCAAGATAAAGACTAAGACTAAATAAAAAATGCTTGTCAAAATGAACACTGGATCTGAGTGATTATCTTGAATGGAGATGTCAACAGTGTACTAACCAAGGCCCTAAAGTCCAAAATGGACTGAAGCACTCCATGCTGTTTTTTGGCGACATGGAGGATATATCACCAGAAAGGAAAATAGCTTGAATTGGCTTGAATTATGTTCATGTTAGGTTTCAGTGAGTCACTCCTGGAAAGGAGTTCTCAAAGTGTCAGCATCTAATAAAGCACTGATATTACTGACATAAAACTGAAAATTTCTTTAAATAGTAGCTTGTCTGTGAACTTTTTTTAGTAGTAGTAGTAGTATTGTAGCTAGACAAACTATATGCCATAGTAGCTTCCCCAGCACTGGCTACAAAATAAACTGCTGTTTTGAGTAATTTGTGTCACAAAGACAAGTGTTACCCAAACGTAAACCTAGATTTATCTTCCAGAATGTCAAATATTATTAGCTTAATATCAATTGTATAACAGCTTGTAATAATGAGTATTGTGTGTGGTGTGTGTTGTAAGAGACTTCCTGACTGGAGAGGATAAGGAGGTGGTGTTCAGTGCTGATCATTTTCCTTTGTGGTACAAACGGGCTGCTGAACAGGTGCCTGGAACCTTTATCTACTCCCTTCCTTTCGGCACAGGTGATTAAACACACACAAAACAGCCAGTTTCATTACAGCAGTCATCTATTCATGCATTGCACCATGATTGAACCAGGCACAATGCATCAAGTCATTTCTTTGTCTACACTCAATGTGAACCTGCTGTGACACAATCACAAGACATTTACCATGACATGACACAGTCACAAGATATTTCATGTTTAAAGGAATAGTTCATCCAAAAGTCGTCCTTCACTCACCCTCATTTTGTACCCCACTATTGCTGGTGTGTTCTGGTTAAAAATAACACAGATTTACATGGAAAAGATGGAAACATGCAGTCTTTTTTAACATAGGGCCACAACAGTTCTTCAGTAATTGCCTTTGGATGATGAGCTAAAAGCATCTACTTCAAAGACAGTAGAAACCGGATAAGAAATCATGTTCTCGAAACTCTAATTGAACTGTTTTGAATAAGAGACTAGGTCTGACCCATGTATAAAAAACATTTAATACAGAACAAAAAAGCCAAAGACAGAGATTCCGGGATTCATGTGAATCATATTCTAAGAGACAAGGAAAATTAGACTAGGGAGTGTTCAAAGCCGGAAAGAATTGTAATTAGTCTTTACTGCATAAAAACCTGAATTCACAGTCAACTAAAAATGGAGTTCAGGTACGGTGAATGCTCTACAGGTCTTTCTAAGTATAAGCAGGGGATGAGATGAGCTTTTCTCAGTATGTCACAGTGAAGTTACCATTACACTAGACTTTTTAAGCATGCAGACTTATTTTGGACCCCACAACAAACATAGACAACAAGTGTCATGCGCTAGGTCAGGGTTCTATAACTCATATATACTCAGGAACACTAGCCAGGTCTCCATGCATTTGCTGACCAAAAGTCCTACCATTGATAAGTTTTTGTTGTGGTGCACGTAGCAATAGACTATGTATGTTTTGAGGGAGTTGGAAGTGAACACTCTGAGAAGGCCCAGAGCTGGGCAGCAATCAGTCTGGACCTGTGCATTAATTTACTGAAGTTGCTTTATTGCAGCATTTGTTGACTTTTGCACATTTCTGAATCACAATGCTTTTTGGGGCAGGTGATATTTTAAAGGGTTAAGTTCACCCAAAAATGAAAATTAGCCCATTCTTTACTCTCCCTCAAGGAATCCTAGGTGTATATGACTTTCTTCTTTCAGATTAATCCAATTTGAGTTATATTAAAAATTGTCCATGGGCGGTGTTTCTGTTCAACAGTCCAAAGGAAATCCAATAACGTGCATCCATCCATAATAAAACATGGGTCTCATGGTTCCGAGGGGTGAATAAAGGCCCCCTGTAGTGAATCGATGTGTTTTTGTAAGAAAAATATCAATATTTAAAACGTTAAGAACACTTTTTTCACACTTCCGCTAACTGTCGTACGTGCAAGCCTGTCACCAAGCGTGGTCCATAAAACATGCACGAAGAAGAAGATTGATGCAAACAGGTATTTAATAATCCACAAGAGGGTAATACACAGAAGGCAGGCAGGAGACAAACGTAATCCACAAATGACATCAATAATACCGGACGAGGGAGCATGGGACAGACTACACTTTATATACTAAAGCAAATTAAGTTAATGAACGAGACACACCTGAACCAAATGATACAATCAACGGGAGACAGAAACTAGGTCACAGTGAACACATGGAGAATTAAAACACAACAAAACAGGTCCATAGGTCTGACAGTTCACCCCCCTCCTGGAAGGTGCGACCTCGTGCCACATAGAAAAAGGGAGGGACAGAGGGGGACTTAGGAGGAGGACAAAGGAGTGGATGTGGGATGGTGCCAGGGGACGGCGAAGTGCTGGCAGGAAGGGAGGCGGACAACCCAGGTGAAGGTTCCGCAGGAGGACAACGAACAGAGTCCAGGGAGGAGACGATGGAGGGAGGAGCCATGGAGGAAACAGGAGGGACTTGGAGCAGGGAGAGCCAGGCGAGACCCAGGTCACAGCCATGATGGCGACCCACGGTGGAGCCGTTGGAGGGAGGAGCCATAGTGGAGGAAGGGCTGACGACTCCAGGGGGCCGACTGATGGCGGTGGAGCAGATGGTGGTGGAGACCGAGGCGGAGACGGAGAGCCGACGAGCCAGGGTGACGCTGAGTATCCGGAGGGCCAAGGTAGAGTCGGAGGGACGAGGGACGAGGCACAGCTGGAAGAGTGGAGTCCCGAGGCGGCGGATGGTCGACGACTGACCAAGGCGGCAGATGGTCAACGACTGACCAAGGTGGAGCTGGAGGGACGAGCGAGCCCGGCGGAGCTGGTGGACTGACGGGCCACGGCGGAGAGGAGGGAGCTAGGAGCCATGGTGGAGCCGCTGGGTCAACGGGCCAAGGCGGAGTCCGGGACTCAGAGGCTGGAGGCGGAGACAAGGGATCCTCCATCCAAGATGCCGATGGAGACTGGCAGACCCGTGGCGATCCCACCGCACAGATGGTGGGCTAAGGGTGAGCAGAGGGGCTGCCAGGAGACAGCAGTGGTGATGGTGAGGACTGGTGCAGAGGTGGTGGGAGAGGGAGGCTGGGCGGGAGTTCAGGATGATCAGGGGGCTTAGGAACGGTGTGTGATGCCCACACACACCACAAGGCCACTACCAGCACTGGGAGCGCCAGCGATAGGGGAACGACCTCCGTGGTTGCATCAGGACAGGCAGACAGTTCAGGGCAGACAGATAGTTCACAAACGGCCTCCATAGCCGAAACAGGACTGACAGAGAGTTCAAGGCTGACAGACAGATTCAGGGCAGGCAGATGATGACGGTTCAGGGCAGATAGAAAGTTCAGGACAGGCAGATGATACACAGTCCACTGAGCTCAGCTCACCCTCAGCTATGGTGCAGTGGTTGGAGCTTCCCTCCGTGCTTTCACTGTCCATGGTGCTCTCCCCCGTGGAGAGCTCTATAGTCGGCTCTCGCACCTGGTCTGACGTCACAGGCTCTGGCTCCGAGACGATCCTCAGCTTTGTCGCTCCATTAGGTGATGGCTCGTCAGTCACGGTGGGCTCTGGCTCTCTGTCAGCGGTGGGCTCAGGCTCTTGCTGCGCACAGCGGGGTGATGGTGGGTTGGGCTCTGGGTCCTTACATGTTCCGGATCGGGGTAGGATGCTCTCCAGACACTGAAACATGGCCTCCCTCCAGTTCAGTCCCGTGGAGTCTGGGAGGTCCACGGAGCAATGGTAATTCGCCTCAATCCGGAACAGGGACTTCATGGTCTCGTTGTTGTGTGGAGATGTGACGGCAAGATGTGCGAACTTTAGGGCAAACGAAACGAAATCGCTGAGAACTTCGCCTCCCATTCCATTCTCTTTTTTCTTTTGGTCCGGTATTCTGTCACCAAGTGTGGTCCATAAAACACGTATGAAGAAGAAGATCGATGCAAACAGATTTTTAATAATCCACAAGAGGGTAATACACAGAAGGCAGGCAGGAGACAAACGTAATCCACAAATGACATCAATGATACCGGACGAGGGAGCATGGGACAGACTACACTTTAAATACCAAAGCAAACGAAGCTAATGAATGAGACACACCTAAACCAATTGACACAATCAACAGGAGACAGAAACTAGGTCACAGTGAACAACACATGGGGAATGAAAAAACAACAAAACATGTCCATAAGTCTGACAAAGCCGTTCTGGGCGGGTGATGTAGGACGTATGCTTAGTGCACACGCCGGTGATTAGTGACGAACGCGTAAGTGCGGAGGAGAGATAGCAAAACAAAATGCCGGTCACGAATTAGAGGCAAAGAACGAGGATTTGTAAAGAAAAATGTTAGAGGATTTCGATATAAGCCAAGAGGAGACTGGTTTTCCTTTGCTAAAGTAAGGAAACTTTGCTTCCTTTGCTCCTGTAAACAAACTCGCAAGAGTAGCATATCTCACCGGTGCATGCGCGACACATATGTCCTACGTCATCCGCCCGGAATGGCTTGCATGAATGACAGTCAGCGGAAGTGAGAAAAAAGTATTTGTAACATTTTAAATATGGATATTTATCTTACAAAAATGCATCGATTCACTACAGGAGGCCTTTATTCACCCCCCCAGAGCCATATGAGGCACTTTTTTAGTATGGATGGACGCACTTTATTAGACTTCTTTTGGACTATTGAACAGAAGCACCTGCCCACTGCCATTATAAAGTTTGGAAGAGCCAATACAATTATTAATATAACTCCAATTGGATTCGTCTGAAAGAAGAAAGTCATATACACCTAGCATGCCTTGAGGGTGAGTAAATCATGGGCTAATATTCATTTGTGGGTGAACTATCCCTTGAAGAATGTGCTGTCTTTAAGAATAATATTTTACCCCCCCTGTGTAGACTTGATTAACTTGCTTACCACAAAACTAGCCTAAATGGCTGCATCACATTTTTTATTTTTCTCACTGAAACAAATATTATTTCGTGGACAGATCTTTTTAGATAGACCTCCATCTCCTACCCCTCAAAACAAGCTTCCTGTGTTGCAGAATTAGTGGAGTAATGATTCATGACATTTGTTAGGAATAAACAATGGATTATTTACCATTCATCTTAACTGAACACTGTGAAAATGCAGTGAAATGACAGAATATTCATGGATGCTAATTACTAGTGTTACAGCATTTTTTACTGTAGGAGTTCTGCAGTTTATCAAAATGAAACCGCAATCATATCCACCTTTTCCCAAATGCGTCTACTGCCTTTTAAATTATGGATAACATTTCTGATTTGAGGAACTTCCACTCAAAAAGACTGCAACAAATAATTATGTCAAATAATAATGTTGTAAATAATCCTTATCCATTTGACTGAATGAACTGTACATTTTCTGTCAGGAAAATAATCTAGTGCTTGGTATTTTAATTTGATTTTGTTATCACAAGAATATCTGTGACAACATCACTTTTCAGTTTGGTGTGTTCTGTCTCATTTTCTTTTTCGATTGTCTGTGGAAAAGACAACACATACTGCACTCTTGTGGTAGCAGTATGAAACATTCACTGGAATGGATTCAGAAATTCTCTTTCCTTATGTTTTCACATGGACTCTTTAAAACGTAATTTTCTTGCCTTTCTCACTTCTAATCCCTATCAGCAGTGTTTTTTTGAATGTTTCTAAAGCAGGGAAATATATGTAAACTGTCAAAGTGACAAGGCATTTAAAAATATCCATTAGTTTTCCAGATAACAATTTCAATTCAAGCTACATACACGTATGGTACATAATATAGACTTACAGATATTACTGAAATAGTATTTAACAGTAGTTGGTTGATGTGGTGAATGTTAAAATGTGGGAAAATTAAAACAGAGCTTGAGATCAGTATAACACAAAAAACACAGTTCCACATTAAAACTGAACGTGCTGGCTTGGTCTCCTCTATACTATTTGTTTTAAATTAACTGTATCATTGTGTTTCAGGCTCTGAGAATAAGAGTGTGGTTTTGGCCAGCAGCGCCATTCATTTGTTGGATGAGAGAGAGTCGCCCATTGCTGCAGGTACCTTAACCTTGCATGAATATCACTGCTTATTTTACAAAATGTTGTGTTTTTGTTGTTGTTTCTGTGCACTGGAGGTGTTTATGCTTGAGAGGGATTGTGAGATGGAGAACTAAAGACATAATCCATGTGAGCAGAAAGACACGCCAGACAAACATTAGGAACTTATGAAAGGAAATAGAATAGCACAGAGAAAATTAGAAAGTGTCTGCTTGAACATAAGCCTGGAGGGGCACTCACTCACTCACTCACTCACTCACTCACACACACACACACACACACACCC